TAAAATATATAACTAGGTTCAATTTCTTTTAAGACCAAAATATGCTTATTTTTTTTAAATTGATAACATAGTTGGGTGGGGTAATCTGGGCCTATATGTCAGTATTTATTGCATTGTTAAAAATCTAATACTTTTACAGCAATAAATACTTTTAAAATGTAAATAAGATCTCTGGCAATGCTTTTCTGATTTTATTTTTCAACGGATTCATATAGACGATCATTAAAGATGTAACTTTCCATTGAATCTAGTACCGGAGAGTAACAGTTTTGAATCTTATCACATCAAATTTATTTTTAAATAAACATTTTTAAAGAATAATGAATCTATAATATATAATACTAGAACATTTGGTTAATTTTTATTTGAGCATCCGTCTAATTTATTCCTTATATTTTTTTTATCATGATTAGGCTTAATATAAGTACTTTTTTGAATTGGAATATCATTGGAATATTTTGCATTTAGCGCATTTATTGTAACACTATTATCTTTAAACTTTTGAACAAAAAGTTTAAATTAAATACATACTCAATGACTCAAGTCATATTTTACTATGAGTTGGTATATTTCATGAAAAAAATGCGAAAAAGTAACATAGGCCCACATTACCCCACACAGTGGGCAGGGCCATCCCGAACAAATTAAATCGATCGATAACGAAGAAATACATATAGAACGTGCGCACAGAACTGGGAAGAAATAAGACAACGACGCAAATAAAAAAAGAAGAAGAACTATAGTAGTTAAATTTCTAGATTATAAAGATCGTGAAACTATACTAGATAACTACAAAAAGCTGAAATTATGGAACGAAAAGATGTATATCAATGAAGATTTTAGTGAGAGAAAAATCAACATTCGCAAACAACTATTCATTAAAGCCAAAGAAATACGTTCATCAGGTAATTTTGCCAAAGTTGTTTATAATAAATTAATCACCGAGTCTTTCGAAAAGACTATCTGATAATCAAAAAAACAAAAACACAAAAAAAGGGTTTTATATATATATATATATATATATATATATATATATATATATATATATATATATATATATATGTATATATATATATATATATATATATATATATATATATATATATATATATATATATATATATATATATATATATATATATATATATATATATATATGTAATCACATGTGTGCGTACATATATACCAGTGTATATAAAAACCTTTAAATATTTTCAAAATAACAAAAACATACAAAATGGATTCAACTTATCGGAATGATTTTGAAAAAATATCAAATTTATTTCAAACAAATACTTTTAATTTAGACAATGAATCTGATCCAGATATTAATTATTTTAATGAAATTAATGGATCAAAATTCGAATGCTCTTACTTTTATCCAGATAAAATTAAAAGCATATTTAAAAATAATGATAATCGTGATTATTTTTATATAATCCACTTTAATATCAGAAGTTTAAAAAAAAAATTTTCCTATTCGAGAAATAGTTCTTAACGCCAAAGACAACTTGTCCTTGTATAACTAAAGGAATAAAAAAATCATCAAAAATAAAACAAAAACTCTATATTAAATATCTTAAAAATAAATCCGACAAACATAAAAATATCTACACAGTTTACAAAAATCTATTTGAAAAACTCCGAAAAAAAGCCAAACAAATTTACTACTCTGACTTGCTTATAAAACACAAGCATAATTCAAGGCGGGTGTGGCAAATAATAAAAGAAATTTCTAGCAAACATAAGACAAACACAAATACGATGCCGAATGCTATAAAATTTGAAAATAAGTTAATTACCGATTCAAATAAAATCGCAGCCGAATTCAATAACTTTTTTTCGTCAATAGGACATAACCTATCAAACAAGATTCCTTATGTAGACAACGACTCTGTTGAAAAATTTATATCATCACCAAATTCAACTATAAATTTTTCAAATCTAACTTATAATGAATTCGAAATTGCACTTAAATCTTAAAAAAGGAATAAAGCAATAGGGCCTGATGATATAAATGGAAATATTGTAATCGACTCATTTAATGAGGTTAAAGATACCCTCTTCAAAGTCTTCAAAGCATCTATTACTTAAGGATCGTTTCCAAATAGTTTGAAAATAGCCAAAGTAACTCCAATCTTTAAAACAGGTGACCATACCAACATAACAAACTATCGTCCTATCTCAGTTCTACCGGTCTTTTCAAAAATATTAGAAAGAATAATGTATAATAGAATGTACACTTATCTTATTGATAATAAACTCCTATATAAAAATCAATTTGGTTTTCAGAGAAACAGTTCTACTGAACACGCTATTCTCCAAGTAACACGCAGTATTGCCGATTCATTTAAGAATTCTCAATTCACACTAGGCATATTCATTGACTTGTCAAAAGCTTTTGTTACTGTTAATCATCATATTTTAATAAAAAAGCTAGAGAGCTATGGTATAAAAGATAAAACCCTAAATTGGTTCAAAAGCTATTTAGGTAACCGCAAACAATTTGTTTATAACAAAGAATCTTCATCGCAAATAATAAAAAATATAACATGCGGTGTCCCCCAAGGGTCCATACTTGGACCACTATTATTTCTATTATACATAAATGATCTTTACAAAGCTTCTACCCTTACGACCGAAAATTTTGCAGATGATACGAATTTATTTCAGTCGCACAAAAACATAGAAATACTTTTTAGTAATATGAAAATGAATTAAAAAGAATATCATATTGGTTTAGAAAAAAAAATTGTCCTTGAATACGGATAAAACAAAGTTTATACTTTTTCACCCAACCTCTAAAAAAAAGAGAATCCAAAATATCTTACCTGACCTATTCATTGACAATACAATCATAAAAAGAGAAAACTTTACAAAATTTTTAGGAGTCATAATAGATGAAAACTTATCTTGGAGTCAGCAAATTGATAGTATTTCAATGAAAGTTGCTAAAAACATTGGAGTTCTATACAAAGCTCGATATATACTAAATAAAAAGCAACTAACTCAAATATATTATTCATTTATTCATTGCCATATAAACTATGCCAATATTATATGGGGAAGCGCTCACAAAACCAAACTTAAACTTCTCTATCGGCATCAGAAACACGCAGCTCGCATAATTAATTTTGGAAATCGTTTTTCAAGCTCAACGCCATTTCTTATAGAAATAAAAGCTTTAAATATATACGAACTAAATATTTTTAATATTTTATGTTTTATGTTTAAATGTAAAGAAAATTTATCTCCAAGTGTATTTATAAATCTCTATAATTTGAAACCAAAAAACAAATATGAACTTCGTGGTAGTAAAAATATTCAAGAGCCGTTTTGCAAAACAAAAATTGACCAGTTTTGTATTTCTTATCCATTTCTTTGGAATAAAATAGTTTTACCTAACTTTGATTTTTCTTTTAAATGGTCTTATTCCTCCTTTAAAAAGAAAACAAAAGAAATAATCTTTTCAACACAAAATATATTTATTTATTTTTAGTATTTCAAGTTATTTGATATTTTTGTCGACTGTGTGATGAATATTATTTAAACAATATATGCTGAATACTTTATATTATAATATCGTTTAATATTGAGAATGTTATATCCATATTATAAAATATTATGTTAAAACTTGCTTAACATCTGAAGAATATACTAACGCTTATGTAATTTTTAATATTTGTAAATTTTCTACCTTTTAATTCGTTATATAGATTGTAAAGGGCTTCATGATAATATCATGTAATCTTCTGGAATTCTTACCAGTAATATTTTCAATGTAATTTTACCTTGTGCATATTTTTCTGGAAAAAAAAACTTGTTAAAAATTAAAAATAATAAAACCGTTATTAAATCTATTCTAATATGAAATAATATGAATGAAATTTTTTCTTATTCGGTTGTTTTTTAAACTGTTTTTTATTGGTTTCATAATTGTTTTTTTTAGAAAAGAATTGTTTTATTTGCACAAAGGTTTGCGTATTTCATTCTCCCCGAATTTGGGGAGAATGAAATACGAATGACATTCGAATGTCAGGGTATAATAAATTTTTTTTTTTTTATATTTTTATATACCGATTCTTATATATTCAAATTTAAATTTATACTCTTTAAAAAAAAAATTAAAAAAAAAAATTAAATTTAAATTTAATCTCTTTAAAAAAAAAATTTTTTTTAAATCATTTTTCCGTAAAAAAAAATAATTAAAATTCTTAACTATTCCATTTGACCCCATTTTACTCTATTTGGGGAGAATTTTATAGCCAAATAAAAATTTAACCGTTATTTGCTATGGAGGTTGTCAGGGACGCGTAAACAAGTAAGGTTTAGTAAAGTTTGCTTTCCTAAAGTTAATTTTAAAGCTAGATTTAAAAAAAAAAAGATTTTTAGAATATGATTCTCTAATAAATTTTAAATAACATTAAACAAAAAAAAATTGAAAAATTTGATTTTTCTGAGGGATAGCTCAATCTTAATTGCACCCCTTTAGCGCTGGCCCTCTATATTGTTCTCTATATTCGCTACAATATTCAACAAATATTTAAAACATTTTGTTACTTCTATACTAAGAATTATTATTCCGTAGTAAAAAAGTTTAGTTTTTAGTTCGCAACTCAACTTCGAAAAAACATATTTCTTCATAATATTTACAGAAGTAAAGAAAATAGTTAAATTCGAATGGAGAAAGTAATTTAAATAAGTGCTTTGGGTTAAAAATGGAATTTCGTTAATTCCTTTTCAGATAAAACATTCCGGTACAAAGAAAAAGAACTGGTTGGTGACACACAAAATCGAATTTTTTTAAGTTTAGTTTATAAATGTTAGAACGATTAGTACGTTCTTATTAAATTTAATGTTAACGCTTCAATTTATTATATCAAAGTACAAAAATCGATTAAAGATTGTTAAAACATTTAAATTTTAACATATAATTAATTCTAGTCCTAGAAAAAAGTCATAGTAAAAGAAAACTTTTCTTTTTTTAGTTAAACATTAAAATGGAAATACTCGAAGGCGAAAGAAAAAACTCAAAAATTTATTACCAAAATGGTTACTATTATCGTAAAGACAAAAAAGCAACAGAATCGTATGGTGGCGGTTTCAAATGTAAGGATGAATTTTGTAGAAGTCGTGCAACAAGTGAACCAAGCCTAGCGTTAGTTCAAATAACGCCGCATAATCATTTGCCAGATTTTGAAAAAAAAGAAATTTTGAAATTAAAACAATCAATAAAACGAGCTGCTGAAACTACAAGTGGAAGTTTGCGAGATATTTTTGACCAAGAAACTGCTAGTAACCAATCAGCACATCACGTTTCTTTTGGAATGATGGAAAGCACTATGTATCGCAGACGTAGATCAGTGCAACCGCAATTACCAGCCAATTGCGGGGAATTAGACAACTCTTTGAGAGTAAACAACATAAGTAAATTTTTAGACGGGACCAATTTTTACAAAGGGTACGTTTGTATAAATAACGATTATGCTCACATATTTATCGGGAAAACAGTCGTTGCTTCACCGACTGATTTGCACGTTGACGGAACATTTAAGGTAGTTCCGAGAATGTTTTATCAAATGATAACATTTGGATACATTTTGCTTGATCATGTAAGATAATCATGTAAAATAAAAGATAATATAAGAAGGGTGTAAACAAGTAATTCTAATTTTTCCGCGGTGTTTTTTAATACCGTTAGATTTTTTTAGAGCACCTTAATGAATTAAAAAAAAACAAAATATATTCCCTGTTTTTTCTTGTTCACCCTCCATATATTAATATTTTTGTTATTATTGTTATTACTGTTATTACTACTGTTTTTTATAAATTATAGTTGTTTTTATTAATGTTGTTCTACAAGTAAAGAATCAAGAAATGAAGATTTTTTTGTTTTAGTTTATTCCAACTATTTTCATACTTATGACTAGAAAAACGCAAGAGCTGTATTCTCTTGCATTTTCCAAAGTTGCTGAACTCGTTCCACATTTGTCACCGTTACGGATAATGACGGACTATGAACAAGCATTGATGAATACCTTGGAAATTCAATATCCTTTAGCTGAAATTTCAGGCTGTTGGTTTCATTACGTAAATGTAAGCGAAAAAATATTTAACTAAATATACAATAACCTTTGTTATAAAATGGCAATTTTAAAACTAAATTAAAATAAAATTTAAAAAATATATATATTTGTTTGTACTGAAAGTTTATGTTTACAATTATTTATATTTAGGCTGTGGTTAACAAGTGTAAACATCTTGGATTGTTTGGACTTTTAAAATTGCAAGTTCACAGTGATTTGAAGAAATGGATAAGGCTATTATTGTGTCTTTCTTTGCTACCGCCTCACCATATTCAGCCAACATTAGGCAATTTGAATCCAAATTTGTTTGTGGTATCATTAAGCATAAATGACTTCGCAAAATGTCAAAGTTTAATGACCTATATGGAAACATTTTGGATTGGGCGTATTGGCAGTAACAAAATTTCTGTTTTTGGTTGTCCCAGAAGAACGAACTCTGATCAAGAAAGCTTCCATGCCTCGCTTTTAAAACGAATAAAGATTGCTCATCCAAACATTTGGCTTTTTATAAGTAAATATATATATATATATATATATATATATATATATATATATATATATATATATATATATATATATATATATATATATATATATATATATATATATATCAACTTGGCGTTAGTCGTATAAATCAACCACCGGAATTGGAAACAGTTTCATCATTTACGCAAGTTCAAATAGAGCCCTCACAGCCTAATTCAATTCCACCACAAGATGAAGCCCAGCAACTTAATGTATCAATACAACGGGATGTAGCTATAATGCAAAATATAGATGATGTAGCTATAGTGCAAAATACCTTCCAACTCGGAGAAAACTTACATAGTTCTACAGAAATTGTTGAAGTCACGGAGACTTTAAGAGTAGTGGATGAAACTAATGGAACAACATGTCCTGTTTGTTTAGAAAATACTCCAAACTTTGCTGCTGTTCCCTGTGGACACATGGTTTGCACAATGTGTATACCACATTTACAGTTAAAATGTCCTCGTTGCCGAGCAACAGTTCTTATGTTTATACAAACATTTGCTTGATCTGCTTGATAAATGTTCATATACGAACTTTTTTGTTGAAATTTAACAGTATAGTTGTATTCAAAACTAAATTTATTTGAACTTACAAAAAAATATTTTTATTTGAACTTACAAAGAATCATAATATTTACAAATAAAATAAATAAATAATAAAACATTAAATTTGAGATTTCGAAATGCAATTTTGTTTGTCGAATAATTAAAAATTATGTTTATTATTTAAAAAAATTGTAGCCACTTAATACTATCATCAATATAAAAGTATAATTTTTACAGACCTATATGGGGCTGTTAATACGTGACAGTTTTAAGGGGGGAGGGGGTATCAGAAAGTGTCACCAAATGTCACATGGGGGAGGGGGTTAGCTTCAGTGTAACGTGACAAATTTTTTAAAAATTTAAATTCTAATCACAGCGGAATCAATGAAAATGTTAGCGAAAAGTTGCAAAATCGGGTAAAAATAACGTCACATCTCATATTTGAGACATTTTCTGTCAACCTCCTCCCTTTTTCCAATATGCATATTGGAAAAAGGGAGGAGGTTGACAGAAAATGTCATAAAATGTCACATGGGGGAAGGGTGGGGTGTCTAAAAACAGCCAAAAAGGTGTTACATATTATTTGAACAGCCCCTAACTTAAAAACAAACTAATATTTAAATTAAATCTAAAATCAATTAAAACATTATCATAAAGGTCTTTATTCTATGTAGTAAAGTTCAAGTTCCGCATAATTGCTTTGCCCGAATAGAACTGTAACCAGGGGGTTTAGGTGGTTTAGAACCCCCTAGTATTTAAAACTAATGTTTTTCTTTTTAAGGAAAAGCATAATAAAAAATCTTAAAAAATCATATATTGTGATATATCAATTAATGTTTCAAAGAAACAATGTAACTCCGCATGTCAATAGTCAAATGTAATCAAAAACTTTTGAATATTGATTATTTGTGTTTTATTTAAAACAAACTGAAATTTAAAACCACTTTAAAATAGTTTGCTTAAACTAATTTTCAACTTATTTTAGACAAATGATTTTATATAGTTCTCACTTTACCCGCTACCTTGTCCCACCTCTACTCACACCTACCCCATTTGCAAGGTTTCTGTAAAAAAAAATTATATACTCGATTATAATACGCGGGAATTTTAAGGGGATTGAATCAGTGTTCAAATTGAAGGTGCTTTTCTTACAACTGTTTGGTTTTGTTTGGTTTGGTTTCGAACATCAAATAAAAAAGACATAACCGTAAAAGTATTATTTAATGTCCTTCTTCTCCTCCTCTCCCCAACTTTTTCCATAATTTTAGAAAAATACCTTTTATTAGCCATAAAGTTAACATAAATGAATGGGTTTCATAATGAAAAATAATTGAAGTAAGAAGTCTTTTAAAATATAAAATTTACATTGTCTATTGTTAAGTTAATAATGCTCCAGGTATGAAGGATATGTATATATTTGAACATAATTTTAAAATTTAATTTCAAAAGACAAAAAATGAAAACTGAAAAACTGAAACAGAAAAACTGTTATGAAAAACTAAATGTAGTAAAACGCGTGAAAATTTAGTACATACTGATAAAGACTGAAATAAAGAGTTTATTTCAGTGTGATCACTTGACCTCATGTAATTAACATTAGGATCTCTAATTAAAATTGTTTCTAATAAATTAGGTTAATTAGGTTTAGATATCATTACTGAAAATATGTTAGAGAAATTGTGGCTAAGGTATTTCGAGCCATCCGGTGGGCAATATAGGACACAAAACAATATACTCTTCGTCTTTGGAAGTATTTTTTCGAAACAAACGCTCTCTATTTCGTTGGATTTGAGATCGTTACGTCTTACCCAGTTTAACTTATTAGATATGTAAACGGCAACACATCCACCCAGTCTGTTTTTACGTATGCTGCTTAGATATGCATAACTCTCGATATGACATAGTTCACTAAGGTCGTCCTTGCTTATATGGGTTTATGGGTTTGTCAATGTTTTTGTTGCAGTTAAACAAATAAATGATGCTAAATGTTCCATAGGCCACGGATATTTAAATGAAAACATTGTAAGCCTTTCATATACAGAATATCTTCAAGTTTCTCCATCACTGAAATAATATGGTTCAAATACATTGGTCCAGGTCATAGTTCTATGTTACCTGTTGATGTTTCAGAATAACATATCAAAGGTCATAGTTCTATGTTACCTGAGAGATGTTTCAGAATAACATATCAAATTTGAATTTTGCAATGACGTCACTTTAACAGTTATTGTAGCGTATATTAGAAGTGTAATATAGATATAGTTAAACATTTTAAGAAAGTATACTTAGATACATGCAATATTTATAAAGAAAACAGCTTTAAATTGAAATATTTCATACGAACTTGATGGCTGATACCTGGCTGATGGCGTAGAATAAAGTAATAATATGATGTAACTTCCAAATCTATATTATTATTTTTTCTTCTATTTTGTTTCTTCTATTTAAACTTTATATTAAAATATAAAGTACCACCCCACACCACCCCCACCCCCACCCCCTCCCGCACGCACACACACACACACACACACACACACGGATACGACGTTCTCAAGACTTTTGTATGAGACCAATTTAGGATGTCTAACGGAAAAGAAATCTAATATAAATGAGTGCAGCATAGAGCCACCGAACTAGTTACATCAATTAGCCGTTTGTGCGATGAAGATTGATCCTCCTAGCAAAAACAACTAATTGATGAAGCTAGTTCGGTTGCTCAACGCTACACTCATTTAACTATTTTACATACATGATACACGTACACGTGTATCATGTCTCTTAAAATCAAGAGGGGGGGGGGGAATCAAACTTTACATGGTCATAATTTTTGAACACGAATATTAGAAAACTATTTCTAATAATCTATCATTTTGTTAATCGATCACTGTTTTTACGTATGCATATATGTATACATAAAAATAGTGATTGATTAACAAAATGATAGGTTATTAGAAATAATTTTGTATACATATATGTATACAAAAAAACAGTGATCGATTAACAAAATGATAGAACAATATTCGTGTTCTAAAATTATGACCACAAAAAGTTTGATTCATTCCTACCACCACCACCCCCACCACCACCACCCCTCCTTCGATTTGAAGAGATATGAAACTTTGATGGGTCATAAAAACCGAACACAGCAGATTATTTCTGGAAATTTTAAGTTTGTAGATAAATTGAAATTAATTAAATTATGGTAAAATAACTACTTTTTATTTAGTATTTTTTGGTTCCCAGGCTGCAATCATTACAGTACTTGGCAAAGCATCCTTATTTGACATTAACATAAACATATACATGTTTGGAATAATTAAACACTAAAGAATGAGGTCAACGCCCCTGATAAATCGATATCATTTATAACAAAAGACTTGGGCTCAGCTAAAATCCATATTTATTCATAAGTTTATTTATGCTTGGGTTAAGTAAAGTGTTACAAAAACGTTAGGGCATGCTAAGAAAAGTACTTTAAAAAAATGCTAGTATAAAAAATAAATTTTCATATCATTTTTTCTTATTTCAATATATGGTGTCTTTGACCTAATGTGTAGAGTTAAGACATTAGAATAGAAAAAAATTGTTTCTTTGGCTTCATTTTATTTTTGATTTTGACTAATATTTGAAAAATAAAATATTACCATTTCCCTGGTAAAATTGATATGTTGAACCTAAAAATTAAGTATGGTTAAAATTAAATCAGTTTTTGAGTGACTAACACAATATTGATTTTGCATGGTTTTGCTTACCTCAGGTCCAACTATGCAATGACTAAATTAACACTCAGTAATAAAATTACAATTAAAATTTTATTTTTTTAAAAATACAAGTTGATTAAAAATGTTACATTTAAAAAAGTTGACGAACTTGATTTCCTTACAAATTAAAAATTCATAAACTTAATGTTCAGGCCCGTGTACAGGCCTGACATATGAACATATATTGCCCGTATATGAACAACAATTGTAAATTGTTAACTATAAATATAGTTTGAAATAAATAAAAAAGACATGGAAATTTATGAACTTTGCTTTAAAAGAAAAATTTTTAAATGTTTTGCGTGATGCTCGGATTAATTGAAGGAACTACAACTTGATTAAATTGGTTGTCACAGCATGCTTTACTCTATGTTCACTATGCATGCTCACTAAACAAGTTACAGCAATAAAGAAGAGAATAAGTCAAACTATTGAGTAGTATTTTGATAAACAAAAGCTTGTTTATCAAAACGGCAAACAACTTGTAAATATTTTATATAAAGAATATATTAAACATTGTGTGGAGTAACCTCGTAATTCATTGGAAAGTTCAACAATCTCTTTTAATACTTTTATTAAGAAAGACTGTAACACAAGCCCACTACCGGGCCTAACCAACTTTAGAAAAAACGTTTATTAAGGCCCAATATATTAGGAGCCTTTGATAAAAAAAGATCTAAACGGTCTTTTTTTATCAAAGGTTTAAGATCTAGAAGCCTCACTAAGGTGTCCCGTTCCCGCACAGTTTTTGAACAACAACACCAACTTTTAAATTGAGTTTTAGACAAAGAAAATAATAATATTTACTGAGTATTTTTTAAAAATAAAAAAATTCAAGAGTCCCCCACTAAGAAAAAGTTGAAAAATCTGTTCGGTGCACTTATGCTACCGCCCTCTTATTCCAAAATTTTTAAATTTTTTCAGCGCACTTAGTCAAGTATGCACTAATGCAGATATTTGCAAATTCTATTGATGCACTTATGCCAATGTTTACAAATTCTTTCGGCGCACTTATGCGAGTTCGCACTTATGCCGCACTTATGCCAGTTTTTGCAATTGATTCGCACTTATGCCAGTTTGCACTTATGCCAATGTTTGCAAATTCTTTCGGCGCACTTATGTCAGTTCGCGCTTGTGCAAGTTCGCACTTATGCCAGTTTTTGCAATTGATTCGCACTAATGCCAGTTCGCACTTATGCTAGTTCGCACTTATGCCAATGTTTGCAAATTCTTTCGGCGCACTTATGCTAGTTCGCGCTTGTGCCAGTTCGCACTTATGCCAGTTTTTGCAATTGATTCGCACTTATGCCAGTTCGCACTTATGCCAGTTCGCACTTATGCCAATGTTTGCAAATTCTTTTGGCGCACTTATGCCAGTTCGCGCTTGTGCCAGTTCGCACTTATGCCAGTTTTTGCAAGTGATTCGCACTTATGCCAGTTCGCACTTGTGCCAGTTCGCACTTATGCCAGTTCGCACTTATGCCAGTCGCACTTATGCAGATTCGCAGTTATGAAATTCGCACTTATTCAGTCGCCCCAATCAGCGTGATCAAAAAAATTTTATAATAAAAAAAGTTAACAATTCATTAAATATCTCTAATTAATACTGTTAGTTTATGAAAGTAATTGTTAATAAATACTTTTTTTCAACGGGAAAACAAAAAATTGTCATAGCGTAAAAATAACCAGAGAAGTTAGAAAATAGTTCCCATTGTTTAAATAAAAATAATTAAGAATCAGAATATATAATACTGCGCTCTCTTGCGCTAAAACAAGAGACCGTATATAAAACGTTCTATATAATGTAAAATACTCGTATGAAAATCATGAGATTGGTAAGTAAAGCTTTAATATTTGTTTTAATTTAAATAATTAAAGAAATATAAGTAAGATATATAAATCTAAAGATTATTAAGATATCTGTAAAAAATAAGTTGCTCCTATAAAATAAAAATAATTTATTGTTTTTACTTTTTACAAAATTTTTTTTGCGATGTTAATAAAAATAATACAAATATATATATATATATATATAATACAAATATATATATATATATATATATATATATATATATATATATATATATATATATATATATATATATATATATATATATATATATATATATATATATATATATATATATATATATATATATCATATTGCAAGTTTTGCATTTGTTGTTTTTTACAATCTGCTGCCTTGTGCTTTTGGCTATTAAGACCGCAGAAGGTAGGCTGTTGTGTAGAAATTGAAAGAGATTTTGTTGTCCCAGTGTTTTGGAAATATATTCTGTTACAAACAATTCCAGCTTTGGTTTTGGTTTGTAAACTTTATAAGTGAACTTGCTAACCAGGACTTTGAAAAGTAGTAGTAATCATGAGTTTTACCCTCTCTGCATTCTTTCAGTTTAAAGAGTGTTTGCAGGCGAAGTGCAAGGCTTTGCTACTTTGGTAATAGAATTCCGAGACCTCCGTTTTTGACGGGTAAGAAAAGTGTTTCTCTTTTGACCGGATTAAAATTAGTCTTTTGACACAGATTTTCGAAAACGGCACTGTGTAAACGTTCTATTACCCATTCGAAAACGGGCAGTACGTTTACCAGAACCCACACTTTTGATATTGCTAACGTATTTATCGACATAAGTATATGTTTTTTTTACAAAAAAACATATACTTATGGGGACAAAAATTAATAAGTACCCCAAATGTACTCGTAAATTTGTATGTCCCTGTGAGTGTCTGTTTTTTCGCTAACCCCATTGTCTAGCCAACTAGCCCCGGTCTTCCTTACTCAATCTAATATTTGATTATTAAATTTCCTGAAATGGTATTATCGTTTAGTTCATCCAATTTAATTTATAACTTTGATTTTATATCACTCTGCAGACTATATATTCAATCGCAGTTTAAAGGTTACGCCTTGAAACGCAAAAAAAATAAAAAAATAAAAAATAAAAAGTCCTCTATATGCGTTTATACTAACGATAAAACACGTTTTATTTTAAAAACATATTAAACAACAATAAAACAATACTGCAAGTTTGTTTTGTCAGTTAAAAAGCTTGTCATAGTGTAAAAAAACTTTACCATGTAGTTTTATGGCTATTTTATACTGTTTACAACATTTAAAACATAAAAGGCGTTTAAAATAAAACGTGTTTCGTCGTCAGTATGAACTGTGTTTAATACTTAGTTTTTAAAGATTGCAAAAACTATTATGTTATTTATATTTCACGTTGCATAACAATCATTTTTACAATAAATTTACATTTGCAATATCTCGGATTAAAAGTAAGTCGAGTTACATAATCAGATTTTAGTTGCAGCTAAAGGAACAATTAAAGAGGAATATGCTTTTTAAAAAAATTAAAAAAAAGTGTTTGCTATAAAGAAAAACAAGTTTAGCAACCTTTTATTTGAAAATGCCATTTTTCTCACTTACTAAACAATTTATATAAAAATTAAAAAAAAAAAAATGTCGGTTTTAAAAATAAAACATTTCCTGATTCATGCACAGCAAATATAAATAAAAATTTATTGTAATCACATGATAGCATGATAAGTAAAGCAGAAGGATGACAAATTAAAAACTGTTGCTAAATTTTTGAGACGAAAACAATTTAGACAAAGCTTCGAATAGTTTTCGATTTTCTTTACAAAATTTTTTGTAAGCAAATATTTTTTTACCATTTTGATTCAATAATGGTACATTTAAGGTTAAAGATTTTATAATCCGGCTGCAATAAAGTCAAAGATCATTAAAACATCATCTATTGACCTTAATTAGAACAACTTTTGTGATTTAATTATTGTTAACCCCCAACTTATATTAAATCTGACGTTTTGAAAAATTTTTAGTTCAATAGAATTTGGTTTATTATTTTCGATTGATTAAATTTAAAATAAATTAGAAAACTTCTCGTCTGGCCATACTCATGTTTACCACATCATTAGGTTATACCTATGGGTGGATTGAGACATTGATAAAAAAAGTATTTTATCAAGGATTTCCATTGCGAACGTTAAATTATATTTTATAATTGAAACCCCCAACCTGTATTAAAATGAATCTAAAAAAGAAAAAAATGTTTTACAAATTTTGAAATTTAATAAAAAGGTTTTCAAAATTATTAAACGGCACAAAATTGAACCCGGGTAAAAGTTCCTTTCAAAAAACACGCTTAAAAGTGTTTACGAAAAGCTTTTAGTTTTTTTTTTTCAAGTTTATAAGTATCTTAAAAAAAAAAGAATAAAATGCAAATTTTCGTTTTACGACTTGACAAAAACAGCAACAAAAAATACAAATTTTATTAGTTAACAACAAAGTTAATAATATAAAAAAGAGTAAAAATAATATTTCTTTTTTTTACGATACATTTTGGCGACGTAATATTTCTTTGTACATAGAGACAGTGTCCTCTAATTTTTGAATGTTTTCTTGAAGATTTTCTACTGTAAATTTTAAGTTTGCATTTTCAACTTCTAAAAGTTCGCATTTTCGATTAATCTCAATTTCTTTTTCTCTTCTTTGTTCTCGTGACCGCTTTGCAGCTTCGTTATTTCTTTGTCGGCGTTCCCAGTATGTTTCATCTTTTTTTTTTTCATCAACAAATTGTCGTTTTGATTTTCGAATCATTGGTTGTGGTTTGTAGTTATATTCGACGTTACTCTTAGCAACGTTTACATTATGTTTTAATGGAATAACAATATTTTCAGAATTTGCTAAAGTCGGGGGTGAAGATTTAAAGTTCGCTGGAATGCTGTTATAATATCTTTTATTTGTTTCTGAAAAAGGTAATGATCGTGAAATAAGGAATTCATTGTTGTCTATTATTGTTTTTTTTAGTGTTCTTGGTATATGATAATATGTTTGTTTAATACACTTGCTAGCTGTACATATTTGAGATGACTCACAAACCGTTGGAGTGTAATGAGTATTTATTTTTGACATCCTAAAAAGTTAGTTAACAATGTATATACGCATGTATGTATGTATGTATGTATGTATGTATGTATGTATGTATGTATGTATGTATGTATGTATGTATGTATGTATGTATGTATGTATGTATGTATGTATGTATGTATGTATGTATGTATGTATGTATGTATGTATGTATGTATGTATGTATGTATGTATGTATGTATGTATGTATGTATGTATGTATGTATGTATGTATGTATGTATGTATGTATGTATGTATGTATGTATGTATGTATGTATGTATGTATGTATGTATGTATGTATGTATGTATGTATGTATGTATGTATGTATGTATGTATGTATGTATACTTAATAAAAAGTTAACTAAATTTACTTACATGTCTAGCTTTTAAATCTAGATTTGACGATAACTTTATTACATAACAAAAAAATTCTTTTATGATGTTCACTTACGTGATAATCAAAAGCTCATTCTAAATAGGATTTAGCGTAACCTTAGAGTATATAGATAACAAATTGTTAACAATTAGCATGATTAGTAATTTTTCGTTACATCTGCAACAATTTTCTAAAGGTTTAATGTATTCTCTTCTTTTATTTTCTTTTATTCTCTTTTTTACCTAAAAATAAAAGGAAAATTCAGTATCAAAATTTATGTAAAAACATTAGAAAACAAAATTCTTATAATCCAGATTTAAGTTACATAATGACGTACATCAATCTTACAAATGTTTCTATTGAAATTTTCATTTCAATGCTTAATTCGATTTTTTTAAAAAAATAATTTAATACTTCTATTCTGAATTTTAATCCGTTATATAAACAGGTCAAGGATTTCTATTGAATATTGGTTGTGTAAAAAAATGCATGCGACCGTAAAAAATATTGTTTTTTATGATTACTTCAAATAAATTGCACACAACTTTATTAGACCCTTGGTGTACACCTATATTTGATTCTTTTATCATTCTCTATGCTAAATGTAATCAATAAGCTTGATACCCAAAAGTTCTACATCTAATTAGATAAAAAATGAATCTAGAAATGGTATTAAATTAATGAAAACTCTAAATATTTTAATAAAATGATTTAAACGGCAATCCTAAAATCCTGTCACGCCATTTCACCGTTTTTACTGACCTAAATTTATCAAAAATTAAACAAGTTTTAACAATAACTTATGTAATATACTTCATTACTTTATATTCATCATTACTTAGTTACAAACTTTCACTTTTGGCATGAAACTTTTTTAAGTTGAATTTTTTTTCTTTAAAACAGAATTTATTTAGTTTATAAGTTATAGGCTTTGCATTAAAAATACTCTCCAATATAATCAATTATATTCTTAATTTGATAAAATTTTAAAATCAATTACACTATATAAGACAATTTTTATCCTTGGATTCAAAATGTTATATATCAATTGCTTACGTCTAAAGATGAAAAAACAATCACATTAAGCATAGACATCGATTTTATTATTCAAGTAAGATTTTTTTTAATGGAGACAAAAAATAAAAACTTCATGTTTTTGTTCATTCGTTAAAAAAAAACGACAGCAAGATGTCCCTTAAAAATAACAATTTCATATCAAATAGACAAAGACAGTAAAAATCAATCCAAAATCTTCAGAAATTAGCAAATTTTTTAGATTTGCGAGTGTGCTGAGAGTCACTTTTATGATGTAGCCTTCAATCGCACTCCCCCATCATGTTTTCGTTATACTGTCTTTGAGAACAGCATTCAAGCCCAATATATCTTGATAAAAGTGCTCACCTTGCTCCGTTGAGTGTACTCCCATGGTCTCATTGAATGTATCAAGATTAACGTCAATGGTTTAGATTTCAAGTGACATTTCGAATTTTACTATGGCGCAACTCTTTATTAGAATCTCTATTTATAAAAAAACCGCATTCTTCATTTTGTTTAAGGGTTTGGCAAACTTGCCGCATTTAATGATCTTCTTAAATTGTAGTCCAACTAAGGTACCAGCTGTAACCCTTGCCTCGGATGGCTTTGTAAAAAGATTTTGGAGGTACTTGAAAGAAACCGACTTCTTGTTAAAAGCCGTAACAAACTTTTTAAGTTCAAGAGGAGTCACACTTTTTGGGGTTCTATCAACTATTATTTTGCTTACTTTTTTTACTTTAACTTTTATTTTAATTCGTAATATTTGTAAATAATTTGTCTTACGAACGGTATATACTTTTAATAATGAATTTAATTTTGTAATAAAAAAAAAATTAATATATATATATATATATATAAATATATATATATATTATTATGAAAAAAAATAAATAAATAAATAAATAAAAATTTATATATGTGAATAGATGTATCTGCAAATATTGTATATATGATACTTCTGGAAGTTAATCATCCTTTAACAGTGGTTTAGCGCTTTTGTCGGTGGAAGCGTAAACGTAAACGCACCAACATTAGATAATTTTGGCTTCACACACAGAGACATCATCATTTGCCTTTCTAAATTCTTCTACACAATCTTTTAAACAAGCTTGAAGTTCATTTGGATGTACCTAGTGCAGTCATATTCTTATTATTTTCGCTTATTTATCAATTAATTAACAATTAAGATTAGTGTAATTGTAAGATACATTTGAGTAGCAAGATTCAGTGATCGTATAGATGCTAGTAAGATGCGAGACGTATTCGTTTATCAAGAATATGATGATACTATTGTTTTCGCTTGAGTTATGCGATTAAGAAGAATTAGTATTTTAATTCAAGCCATAAAGACCGTAACTAAAGAAAAGTTTAAAATTTGTATTTATTTACTTTTGTTTTTTCTAAAATCTAAATTAAGTTCTTCAACAGCGGTTCTCGGTGTATGTATGGTCTTCTTTGAGTATCCGCGTTCTTTATATTTATTCTTTGTTTTTTAACGGTTTCTTTGCATGTAATTTTTCTTATTGATATATTTGTAAATATTGTGATAAAGAACAAAAAAAAAAAAACTGGTAAAAAATAACAAGAAAATGACTCCATTTTGAAATCTCCAACTTGAAACTGGTGTAAAACTTTTAAAATACACAAAATAAGCTATTTTAACAGCTAGCTGGTTGTTTCTGTTGTAAAAAAACACCGCTTTGATGCTTCGGGATAAAACCTTTATGAACAGGCGCCAGATACTACATGCGATATTAGTAGCCCTTTATTGACCAGTCACATTGCAATATGACTGGTCAATACAAGGCTACTAATATCGCATGTATCGCTGCAGAAGCACAACCATCTTTCTTACTGACAAAGTTAGAAAATGTGTAGTGAAATTTGCTAATTTTCAACTTGCACGTGCTCATTAACAAAGTCCACTATTTGAGCCTGGATACTAGAAGCTTAGCATTCAACCTAAAGATCCCTGGTTCTCTATTTAAACTATTGGCGTCTTTCTGGTTAAAAAAAAATAAGTTTCCTCTCATCAGCCACACTTTTAAAATCGTAATTTGTATCTCCAGTATCTTCCTTGCTGTTTAACTACTTAAATGGAAATAGAGAGGTTAAGGCTGTATCATACTGAGACAATGTATGAGAGAATGTCTGAATAAACTATTTAAAGCTTGTACCTGAGCTATGTTTTATGGAATGAACGTTTCAAAAGTAGCAGCTGCTTGTGTGGTTCCTTGGTTGTTGCCAAATTTATGGGATTGCTAACTTTAGGTTTCTCCATTTTTCAATGTAAGTTTAAAATGTGCTAATTATATAAACTCAAATTTATATAATTAGCACTATTAGCTAATTATATAAATTTGAAGGCAGGATTTCGCACATCATTTTTATCATTATTTTCAATAGAACGCCAATATGTATAAAATGTTTGTCAGCTGCAACTTCTGAACTTCATTTATCTTTATAAATTTTGGCGGGGAGCCTTAGTTCAATTTACCTTAAAGAGCTTTGTCAAATGCGATGCCCAGAACCTGTCAAGATTCCAACAAGCATGCTAAAGTAAGTCTTGTAGGCCTCATATAATTTACGACTTTTACTGCTTCCACTGAATGTTTTTTCAGTCTTGTCTTTATAAATTGTCCACACACGTAGGAAAGTGGATCTACTGGATGCTAACAAATGATTTTTTCAATTAAACAGTTACACTAGCAGTTCAAATACATATTCTAGTAAAATGCACAATACAAATATGGAGATACAAAAATGCACAATACAAAGTTGAAGATACAAAAGACGGAGATACAAAAATGTACAATACAAAGATGGAGATATAAAAATGTACAATACAAAGATGAAGATACAAAAATGCATAATACAAAGATGGAGATACAAAAATGCATCATACAAAGATGGAGATACAAAGATGCTCAATACAATTCATTAATTTTTTTGAAACGCAAAATTTTCAAAACATTGTTGTCACGGTCACAAAAATAAAATTTTGATGATTAACACTTATTTTCTATTTATTTTTGGCAAAGCAGGCAAACAAAAAGAAAAAAAATTTGTTATTTAAAAAAATATAAAGCATACTTAAACTTTTGGCCATTTGTTCTCATTTAAACTAATTGTAAAATGGGTAAAAACCTTTTAATTTAAAAAGTTTTTACCCATTCTATTGGTTTTCGTTATTACCTTTGTTACGCCCTTGATTTATTATTATGAAGCTTTCATGACAACTTCAGGGTTATTAAAAGATTCTATTTTTTACCTTCTGAATACAAGAGTAATTAGAGATATAAGTTTGTTAAAACAGGGTTTGTTAAAACAGGGTTTGTTAAAACAGGATTTGTTAAAACAGGGTTTGTTAAAACAGGATTTGTTAAAACAGATAATCTTTTATGTTAAGTCTTTTACATAATCTAATAACTATATAATAATATTAGAAGCAACCGTGACAAAGTTGTCAGAACGGCTGATTCAAAAATAAGAAATTCGAGGTTCGATGTCTCTTCTAGTCATATACGCGGCATTGGTAAGAATGATGACGTAAGCCATTTAGTTAAATGCTCCTCCGCAAGGCTTTGTGACCGTCATTTATGAACACTTTAATGACTAGGTCTTCTATGTACACTTTAATAAACAAAAAATAAAAATTGAATTAAGGATATTTTCCTTAGATATTTTTAATTTCTAATGATAGAAGCTTGTAAACTTCTTAAAGGGTTAGTAAATTGTCAAACAGTGCAAAAAAGAAATATGTATTATTATTTTTTGCATTTTTTGTTTGAAATTTTAAATTTAACTTAAAAAAATGTATATATATACAATGCGTATATATAATTGCGTCGCTAAGTGGGTGCGGGCTGCACCGGGTAACACTTTCACGACGTAACACAGAGGGGTGACACCAAAATGAATAAAAAGCAAGTGCTAGATGTTTTTTCTAAAGGATCTTTTTTTTTTAATTTCAGCTGTTAATCTTTTTTTTTTAATTATTCACTTCCCCAAGGCCGAAAAGGCCACTGCAGTCGAAAGGCTACTTTGTAGTTACAACGTTTAGGTCATATGAATAAAAATGAGCAATTGCTTTTACTTAATAATTGGTTAGCTTTACGTGAATAAAAACTTTAGCAGTTTTACCGAACTTT